CCGACTTTTCCTGTTATTCCTTTAGCTCGCATTTTGTGCGCTATTACGCCATGGACACACTTGTCGAAGGCTTTTGCAAAGTCTGTATATATTACATCTGCATTTTTTTTGTCTTCTAGTGCATCTAGGACCTTGTCGTAGTGATCCAATAGTTGAGACAGACAGGAGCAACCTGTTCTAAACCCATGTTGCCCTGGGTTGTGTAACTGATGGGTTTCTAGATGGGTGGTGATCTTGCTTCTTAGGACCCTTTCAAAGATTTTTATGATATGGGATGTTAGTGCTATCGGTCTGTAGTTCTTTGCTGTTGCTTTACTGCCCCCTTTGTGGTGCGGGGCTATGTCTGTTGTTTTTAATAACTGTGGGACGACCCCCGTGTCCATGCTCCCTCTCCATAGGATGGTAAAGGCTCGTGATAGGGGCTTCTTGCAGTTCTTGATGAACACGGAGTTCCATGAGTCTGGCCCTGGGGCAGAGTGCATGGGCATGTCATTTATCGCCTGTTCGAAGTCATTTGGCGTTATATTATCTAACCTGCTAAATAATATTAATGATCTTTCACACCCTCATGATCTTTCACACGGTGAGGGCCTGGGTTCGATTCCCAGCCAGAGTAGAAACATTGGGCGTGTTTCTTTCCACCTGTTGTCTATGTTCCCCATCAGTAAAATGGGTACTCGGGTGTTAGTCGACTCGTGTGGGTCGCATCTTGGGACACTGACCTAATTTGCCCGACACGAATACCACCTGGTGGTTCACACTTACACTCGCTCACTCATTTGACCATAAACAGAAATATTAATCTCAGTCTTAAAATAATGAATCCTGTGATACTCCAATACTGAAACTATATACTGTGCCAAAACAAAAGCATTCACATTGCTAAACTCATAAACTAGTATTTAGTCACTTAGCCATAAGACCAACTTACCTCATAATTTGTAATATTTTACAATTAAGAATAAAACTAAGTATACCCGAAATGCCTAGCCATGCTAAGCGTTCTAGTGGTACACTCTGTAATCACAATTTTACTACATGTAAACCAAACAATAACCAAATTTCTGTAAACTCAGCATTGTAATCCTTATAGAGAATAAACTTTGAATTGACATGCGGAGCATAAGAACATAAGAACATAAGAAAAGAGGAACACTGCAGCAGGCCTGTTGGCCCATACTAGGCAGGTCCTCCACAATCCTTCCCAGTAACAAAATATTTTCCCAACCCAATTTTCAATGCTACCCAAGAAATAAACTCTGATAATTCTATCCACTCATGTGCAAGTCCCACTCAATTCCATCCCCTCTCACTCATGTATTTATCCAACCTAAATTTGAAACTACCCAAGGTTTTAGCCTCAATAACCCAACAAGGTAGACTGTTCTACTCATCAACTACCCTATTTCCAAACCAATACTTTCCTATGTCCTTTCTAAATCTAAACTTGTCTAATTTAAATCCATTATTGCGGGTTCTCTCTTGGAGAGGGGTGTGAACCCGTGGCGGGCGAGTCGTAAAACTCCAGGCCTGGAGTTCCAGCACTCACCCGCCGTGAGTTCACACCTCACCCGTTCCACTGTCTTGTTTACATGCGAGGCGTGATCATGGACCGGGCCACGGGGGGCGTTGACCCCCGAAACACCAAGTATACCAGATATACACAGGGATTATCCTACCACTATTAACTATACGCGGGTCCTTAATGTAATTTAACATTTTAACATTAACGTCTTACCAAAACGTTAAAGGATGATGTAATCCTACAGTAAAAATAATAATAATAATAATAATAAAGTTTATTTTTACAAGTATATGATACAACTTATACAGACCATAGCTGACACCCATGACATACTATATAGAAAGCTCCTAGTTATGTAGAGCATTTCCCGCAACTTAGGTTAATTCTGTCCCCAGGATGCCACCCATACCAGTCAACTAACACCCAGGTACCTACTTATTCCTTGGTGAACAGTGACAGCAGGTGTAAGGTGAATAACACCCAGGTACCTACTTGCTGCTAGGTGAACAGGGACAGCAGGTGTCCTAAGGATACACGCCCTAATGTTTCCACCCGTACCGGAGATCGAACCACGGATCTCAATGTGTGAGCTCAACTCCAATGGATTTTTACACGTCCCATTGAGGATTTTTGTAATATGAGCAAGTTGTGGTGCTGAGCACTGGTCAAGGTTGTGGTGCTGAGCACTGGTCAAGGTTGTGGTGTTGAGCACTGGTCAAGGTTGTGGTGCTGAGCACTGGTCAAGGTTGTGGTGCTGAGCACTGGTCAAGGTTGTGGTGCTGAGCACTGGTCAAGGTTGTGGTGCTTGAGCACTGGTCAAGGTTGTGGTGCTGAGCACTGTCAAGGTTGTGTGCTGAGCACTGGTCAAGGTTGTGGTGCTGAGCACTGGTCAAGGTTGTGGTGCTGAGCACTGGTCAAGGTTTTTGGTGCTGAGCACTGGTCAAGGTTGTGGTGCTGAGCACTGGTCAAGGTTGTGGTGCTGAGCACTGGTCAAGGTTGTGGTGTTGAGCACTGGTCAAGGTTGTGGTGTTGAGCACTGGTCAAGGTTGTGGTGCTGAGCACTGGTCAATGTTGTGGTGCTGAGCACTGGTCAAGGTTGTGGTGTTGAGCACTGGTCAAGGTTGTGGTGCTGAGCACTGGTCAAGGTTGTGGTGCTGAGCACTGGTCAAGGTTGTGGTGCTGAGCACTGGTCAAGGTTGTGGTGCTGAGCACTGGTCAAGGTTGTGGTGTTGAGCACTGGTCAAGGTTGTGGTGCTGAGCACTGGTCAAGGTTGTGATGCTGAGCACTGGTCAAGGTTGTGGTGTTGAGCACTGGTCAAGGTTGTGGTGCTGAGCACTGGTCAAGGTTGTGGTGTCTGAGCACTGGTCAAGGTTGTGGTGCTGAGCACTGGTCAAGGTTGTGGTGTTGAGCACTGGTCAAGGTTGTGGTGCTGAGCACTGGTCAAGGTTGTGGTGCTGAGCACTGGTCAAGGTTGTGGTGCTGAGCACTGGTCAAGGTTGTGGTGCTGAGCACTGGTCAAGGTTGTGGTGTTGAGCACTGGTCAAGGTTGTGTGCTGAGCACTGGTCAAGGTTGTGGTGTTGAGCACTGGTCAAGGTTGTGGTGCTGAGCACTGGTCAAGGTTGTGGTGCTGAGCACTGGTCAAGGTTATGGTGCTGAGCACTGGTCAAGGTTGTGGTGCTGAGCACTGGTCAAGGTTGTGGTGCTGAGCACTGGTCAAGGTTGTGGTGCTGAGCACTGGTCAAGGTTGTGGTGCTGAGCACTGGTCAAGGTTGTGGTGCTGAGCACTGGTCAAGGTTGTGGTGCTGAGCACTGGTCAAGGTTGTGGTGCTGAGCACTGGTCATAACAAGGGGCTTTCTATGTAGTAGTGTGTCATTGATGTCAGCTAGGCCTGTATACCATGTACATTCACTTCTAGTAAATAAAGTTATTATTATTTTTACAAGTACATGTACAAGGTATACAGGCCTGACTGACATCAACGACATACTACTATATAGAAAACCCCTTGTTATACAGAACATTTCGGGCAAATTAAGTCAAATAAATAACAAAAAAAGGCACAATACCGTGACTGGAACGATACACAACCCGCACATAGAAGAGAGGAGCTTACGACGACGTTTCGGTCCGATTTGGACCATTTACAAAGTCACACTTTGTAAATGACTGTAAATGGTCCAAGTCGGACCGAAACGTCGTCGTAAGCTCCTCTCTTCTATGTGCGGGTTATTTGTAAATTAAGTCAGTTTTGTCCCAGGATGTGACCCACACCAGTCGACTAACACCCAGGTATCCATTTTACTGATGGATGAACATTGGACATCAGGTATCTTAAGGAAACACATCCTAATGTTTTTCCAGCCGTATCGAGGATCGACCCCTGAATTATTATTATTATTATTATAATCATGGGGAGCGCTAAACCCGTAGGAATTATACAGCGCACGTGGAGAGGTGGGAAGGTATTCAGGCTCAATTCAGAGAACTGGAGTACAGATCTAATTCCCTTGATCAAGAGCCCCTCACCAGCCTGAAGAAACCTACCTTGAGGGGATCGACCCCTGAACCGCAGTGAGCTGAATGGGCAATCTGAGTATGCTGTAATACCATACTTCCCAGGTGATGTGAATTTGCCTTTAGTGAAGCATCGATTAATGCCGCATCGAGCTCAAAATTAGCGAAAGGAACTGTTACAGTCATCTTCCTATCTTAGCATAGAACAAATCAGTCTCTCTCTGGAATTATACTTGGCCTTTGATTTCGTCTATGTGGTAATGGAGAGATTGACATAGCTAGGTGTAGCAGCCCAGGCACTGACTGACTAATTCGCTGTGTGGAGGATGAGGGTGTGCAATCTGACAAGCTCTGATACCCTTTATTCTGGTTATATCCCCCCATGCCTGGCTGAGTAGGGTGTAGACGTTAAGACCTTTGACAAATGTTCCCCAGTCTGCTGAGGCTGTCATACGTTCCTTGGAAGCAGATAGGGCAGTCTGTAAGAATTCAATTTAGGGTACATTTCTTTTTATCTGTCTAGGCCTAGTCTATGAGGCATAATTGTCCGGAAGTTTGGACATTGTATTGTAGTATGATGAGTTTCGTAGTAGAATGACTATTACGGTAATTAAGTTTGGAGGACCTAAGTGGAAATAAGTCACTGACTTTTTTTGGGGGGTTATCCTAGGTAATTTACTCTATGTATGATAATTGTACTTGTGTGTACCTTTGTCTAAATGAACTTACGAGGTTTGAGTGACAAGCATTGTGTGGCGTGCAGTCAAGAGATGGCGTGTGTGGGCGGTCCGAATACCTTCATGATGGTAAGTTAAAGACACAAAAGTCATAGTTGGAGCCTATTCAGCCAACATTTAGCCTACGGCAGCCTTTCTCAACTCAGATTGACACGAAGAAGCCTGCTATACAGGCGAGACGTTGCACGAATAAAGTTTATTTACAGTTAGTTGGTGCTGGCATATATGATGTAGTGTTACCTGGTGTTGTGTGGTGGGTGAGTCTTGCTACTGCACTCACTCACTCACTCATCTTCACTCTCATACTCCAGTTTTAAACGCTACTTAGCTCCCTGTATTAAGTTATAGCGAAAACAAAAGGGCCAGGCTCCTCACTTAATCATTGTAGTGCAGTAAGTGTGAGTAATCATTGTGATAGTGCTAAGTGAGCACTATTGGCTAGTATTTAGATAGTAAGATAAGTAATTACTCAAACTATTCGTGTTAGTTTTTTACCTCAGATGATCAAGATTTATTACCATAATTACTTAATCAGATTCAGTTTACAGGTAGTAAGAGGACCTTCATTCATGTTCACCACATACAGTTTTAATGACTATTATTCATATATATATTGATGGCACTAATCAAAATTGTTATAGCGTAAACTCGGTTGTAGTATCTTCTATCCATGCTGAGTAAGTTTTTATTCAGGTACAGGTACACATAAATACGGTTACATTGATTATCATACATACCCACAACTAAATAAATACTGCATAACTGTATATCATAAATTATAACCTGTGACCCTATCAACCTTTTGTTTTTTTTAATTACATTACCTAATAGAATACTCCATTCTCTTGAATGCTCAGTAACTCGTCAGATGACCATATGATCTGTCTTTGAAATACTCATTTGTGCTTAATTGTTATTTGTTTACTGTAATTTTTACCACTGAATATGTCATTGCTTAGTTAATCTTAAGTTAATTTTAAGCCTGTCCATAATGCTCTGCATACAAGGGGCTTTTGAATTCATAGATGTACAAAGAAATACAGTGGCTAAGTGTAATGTACACTTAGCCACTGTATTTCTTGTACATCTATGAATCATGTCCAAATTAATAATAAAATAAATAGCAGCATATGCGTAGATTACCTGGGATAATCCAAAAAAGCCAGACTGACTTATTTCCATTGGGGTCCTTGTGATAAGTATTATATTTAAAAGCTAAAAGCAGGTAAGTATCTTAAGTGTGTAAAAAGTACTTATAATGAAAGGAGATATACTAGGTAAAATCAAATACGTACTTACATTGACATTAAATATAGTGTCAGATCATTGTACATGTATGTTAGATACATGTACAAGAAATCACCCTCCCTTTCTGTAGCCATATTCATTAGGTATATTTTGGCTCTCTTCTTGAACTGGCTTGTGCTATGACAAGCTTTGACATGTGCAGGCAGTCTATTCCATTCTTTTATTACTGTACAATAAAATGTCTTTGAAGCCTGACTAGTGACTGTAGGTACTGCAGTTATTCTCCCTTCCCCTAGTACTACAATTGCTTTGGTTCCCGGCCTTAACAAAATTGGCAGTAAGATATTGGCCCAGGACACTGGTAGTGAGCAGTTTTATAAATGTAATTTAGCTCTAGTTGTTTTATTGTCTTCAACATTCAGCATATACAGTTGTTGTAATTCATTCTGGTCTACATGCTCTCTTGCTTGCCTAGTACATTAGGTGCTGTATGACCCCTAAAGGTTTACCTCTCCCCATGAATGTAATTTAATAATTCTCGCCTAGTAACAAATAAACACCGGGAAGTTAGTCAACTATTGTGGGTTGCATCCAGAGATGGACCTTGGGGCCCCAATGAAAATAAGGCACAATAATGTTCTTGGATTGTCATGGGTTAGTCTGAGATTAATAATCCAAACAGTATATTAATGGTATACAAAAACCAACAAGTGGCTTGTGGCAAAAACTCTCACTTCACATGATGAGTGTCCAGGTTCAGTTCCCAGCGAGGGTTGAAACATTGGGCGTGTTTCCTTACACCAGTTGTCTATGTTCACCCATCAGTAATAATAGGTACCTGAGTGTTAGTTGTCTGCTGTGGGTCGCATCGTGGGACAAAACTGACCTAATATGCCCGAAATGCTCTGCACACCAAGGGGCTTTCTATGTACAGTAGTAGTAGTGTCATTGATGTCAGCTAGGCCTGTATACCTTGTAAATGTAGTTGTAGAAATAAAGATATTATTATTATTATTAAAGTAGATGACTAAGTCACTTTAGCTTTTTTGGATTATCCTAGGTAATTTACACATAAGTTAGTTCACTTCCCTGCCAGGTAGAAACATTAGGCATGTTTTCTTACACCTGCTGTTCCTGTTCACCTAGGAGTAAGTAGGTACCTGAGTGTTAGTAGGCTGCTGTGGGTCACATCCTGGGGGACAAGATTTAATCACTCCAGTGGAAATTAGACGGACAATTTTCGATGACACTGACTTTCCTGGGTGACTAACCCTCTGGGTTAAAAACCTGAACAGATCTTACCATACATTTCTTTAATGAAATGATATTACAAGGACCCCAATAGAAACAAGTCACTAATTTTTTTTGGGTTATCCTAGGTAATTGACATGTTACAATGTACAATAATTGTAGTCCGATAAATTTTGTGTAACTATACTTGTGTATCTGTACCTGTATCTGTATCTGTATCTGTATGACCTTTGTGAGATTAGCACTTAGTTTTGATTGATTTTTACCAAAGTAAACTTACTAAGACAATGTAATCGCCTAAAACTTGTGTAATTGTACTTATGTGAAATTTTACCTAAATAAACTTGCTTGCTTGGTACTGGTATCTATTATTAAAACTTTTTGCTAACAAGTGGCTTTATCAGTCCATTACAGAATAATTATTGGAGATAGTGGAAGACATAAAATACAGTGGAGTAGTTTGAGATGATCAGTCCCACAGCCTTGATGGATGTTCATTCCCTAATCTCGATTCACCAGGATTAGGACTCGGATATTAATTATTAACATTTTACAATCAACCTAGTTATTAACAAATAGTTCATTCAAGACATCTGCAATAAATCAGTTACGATCATCAGCAAAATACAGCCTCTCCTCACTTAGCAACATACTAGTTTACTGACCACTTGGACTTACGACCAGCTCTCCAACCAGTGTGCAAACCCAAGTTTGCACACTGGTATACAGTATACAGTACACCACTATATAAACATTTAAAAATATACTAGAAATGTTATAAATGGCGCAAAGGTGACATTAAAAAAATATCTAAAGATGGTTGACACAAACCCTTTACCAGCATAGTATGCTCCTTGCTTAATGAACAATTCGCTAACCGACCTACTCTTAGGAACGGAACCCAGTCATTAAGTGAGGAGGGGCTGTAGTCACTATTATGTGTGATAATTAAAGCAGGCATGCATCAACCCTAGGATGGTTTGGCTAGGTAAATTTATGTCAGGATCTACCAAAGACTCCAGTGGAAGTACAGTGGAACCCCAAGTTTCGTTCTTAATCTGTTCCAGGAGCTAGGCCTCAAGTCAAAATGGCCTAAAGTCGAAGCAATATTTTCCATAAGAACTAATGTAAATCCAATTAATCTGTTCCAGACCCACAAAAATATTCACAAAAAATACATTTTTTAAAGAATAACTATAGTTTTGCATACACACAACACAGATAAATACATACAGTAATAAATTAGTAATATGTACAAGAGATAAATAAACATTTAAATAAACAGTTAAAATAACATTTACTTACCTTTTTTTTGAAGACAATTGCTGGCATCTGGACGATAGGGAGGAGGAGTGAGGGAGCACTTATTGTTTGGAAGGGGAATCCCTTCCATAAAGACTTTAGGTAACACGTCCTTATCTGGAGTTACTTCCCTTCTTTGTCTTTTAATGCCACTAGGACCAGCTTGAGCCACTGGACCCTTGTTGCACAAAACTGTCCAGAGTGCTCTGTTTCTGCTGCCTCTTTAAGATGTCCCTAAAATGGGACATGGTTTTGTCACTGAACATGTTGCAGATATGGCTTGTTTCAGCTTGCTCAGGGTGGTATTTTTCCACAAAACTTTGCAACCTATTCCACATTCCACACATGTCCTTAATCACTGAAGAAGGCACCTCCTTCACTCCCTCTTCCTCCTCCTCAGAAGTAAGTTCCTCAACTGTGGTCTGATGCTGTTCCAGTTGCAGCTCTTCGGTGGTTAGCTCTTTCCTGTGGTCCTCCACCAACTCTTCCACATACTCGCCACTCACCTCCAACCCCAGGGACTTTCCCAGTGCCACAATACAGTCTACAACAGGCAGAAGGTCAGCAGAGTCAGGGTCAGCCTCAAACCCTTCAAAATCCTTCTGGAGGACACATTCTGGCCACAGTGGTCTCCAAACAGAGTTCAAAGTCCTGGAAGTCACTCCCTGCCAAGCCTTATCTATAAGGCTTATGCAATGGAGGATAGTGAAGTGATTCCTCCAGAACTCTCTTAGGGTCAACTGAGTGTCCGAGGTCACTACTCTTCTTAAATCTGTCAAACCAGCCTCTGCTGGCCTTAAATTCACTATTAGCACTCATTGCAGGCATTTTCTTTGAGATCGTCATGCAACTGCCTTGCCTTTTTACAAACGAGTGACTCCGAAACCCTATCACCCGCTATCTGTTTATAGTTGATCACACCAGCAACAACTTCTCAACCACTTTGATTGTTTGTGATCTATTTTTGGTTAACATATCTACCCCTTTACACAACATCAGCTTCCTTGATTTCTTTTCTCTTCACCAGGATAGAAGCGATTGTTGATTTGCTTTTGCCATACACCTGGCAAGCTCCACAACTCGCACACCACTCTCGTATTTTTGTACTATTTCTTTCTTCACTTCTATCGTGCTTCTCACTTTCTTTACCAAAGGGGTTCCACTAGGAAGTTTCTTTGGGTCCATGGTGACTTACTTCACAGTTCACTCAATAAACAAGCACCAAACACAATGTATTAATTGTGAAATGTTTGGATGAGCGCACAGGGTAATGTTCACTCAAAACCAGACTGACTCACGACGCCTGCGCGGGCAGGCGGACAGGTCTGGTACGCAGGACGAAACGTGGGGCAGTGTGAAACTCTGGACTAAATTTAGCCGAAAAAATGGTTCTAAACTAGATGCGTCCGATACTCAGGGCGGACGAAACTTGGGGTTCCACTGTAAGTTACTCTGGCAGATTGCTCTGAGTTATCCTAGGTAATTTACACATGTCACTTTGTATGGTAATTATACTTGTGTGTACCTGTACCTAAATAAACTTATTTAACATAAAAATCTTGCCTGAGTTTTTTAGAATTTAAAATGACTGATTTATTAAGCTAAAATTTTACCCAGGTGCTTCTCAGCAGATTTTTGCTGAAACTAATTAATAGTAATAATAATGTTTTATTATTAATATTATTGTTATTATTTATTTTTATTATTAATATAGCATGTAGTAATAAGATATAATAAATATTTGTTATAGTTGTTATAATAGTTACAGTTGTAGCAGTTGTTGTAGTAGCACAGCATTTCAGGCTGAACTAAAGCTGATATACAGTAGAGTGCAGTGTTTTGTAAGGTCAGAGTTGAAGCTATTACAAGGTTTCTCTCAATAACATTTGAGGTATCTTAAGTAAAATTATCTTGTATTATTATTAACTCAGTGTGTAGTACTTTAAGCAGAACTGTGGCAAAAAATACTCTGTATTGTGTAACAAGTTTTGGAGTTAGAGTAGAGTATGTATTTGGAAGTAAAAATTAATAATATAAAAGGTATCTTTGATATATGATAAACACTAATGTTGAAAGAATTATCAACAATAAACCTTTCTTTTAGCTCACCACTCTGCCTAGAACACTTTTTCCTGCTGCTGCTCCAGTAACCATACTTGGCATTTCTTCCACCCATGTTGGGGACTAGCGTTTTTGCCTAACTTTCTTCTGTTATTGGCTGGTTCTGCCCTCCTTTAGCACCTCTATAAGGTGGAACTTTTCTGTTTTTCCAAATACTGTAGTACTTGCTCCATCACCATCACCTCTGCTGCTGCAAAAAAAATTCAACCCTAGGGTTACCCTTTCCTAGTGGCATAGTTGCCTCGTGTATGACACTTGTGATGTAGTTCACTCACACGAACAGGAAAAGGTGCTCGTCCACTCTCTCTTTGTAGTACTGCTGGAGAGGCTTTTTTTTTTTTTATTTATCTTCTCAGCCTGTCTCTCAGTGCTGCATGACCCCAATTGGTTTAACACTTCCCTCTAAATAAAGTGGACCCTTGGTTTTCATGAGTCTCAGTTGTCGTGAATTTTGGCTATCAGCAACTTTTTTCATCAGAAATATAGCCTTGGTTTTCGTGATTTCCCTTGGATTTCGGTGGTCATACAGAAAGTGTCCCAGTGGCCCCGCACACACAAAGCCTACCACAAACGCATTCAGAGTCAGTCTGGCATTGTTTCTCAGCAAGTGAGCATCGCCTAGTGTCAGCTCTTTTGGTAAAGAAGGTGAACAACACAGTAGACTTCAAGAAAGAAATTGTAGCAAAGTACCAAAGTGGAGGAGGAAGAGAGAGGGGAGAATGTGCCGTCTTCAGTGATTCTACGATATGCACGATACTAAAGCAGCAGGAGTTGATAAAGGCTATAGCATCAGCCAGCAATAAAGTGTAGCATTAACAGTGTAGTAAGTAAGTTAAGCGATTTGGTGATAGAAAAAGGACAACATGAAACTTAACTCCAATGTTATTAGGGGTATATAGGGCCACTGACGACACCGCCACCGCCGCCACCACCACTATACGGCTTATACTGCCAGTGGCCCTGATAGCTCAACAACAACAACACCGCTGCCACCACCACCACTAGTCATAAGTAATGACATATTTTATTCATTTTAGAGTATATATCATGTTTCAATGTTATTAATACTGTTTATTATGTCATATTAGATGAATTTTGATAGATAAATAAGCCATAGAGTTGATATTAGCGTCATTTTGCCCTGTCTCCCAAACAATACACTCTCCTCCCTCTCCTCTCCTCCCTGTCTTCTGTACATCAACAAGAGTCTTTAATGAAGGTAAGTGTGATGTTATATGCTCATTTATACATTTTATTAGTGCTTTATATTGATTTATCATTCTTTTTTGTATAGTAAATCTATATTTAATCTCTAAAAAAATTTTTTTTTTTTTTTAATACTTTTGGGTGTCTGGAACGATAATTGGATTTGCATTATTTCGTATGGGGAAAATGGTTTTGGTTTTCGTGAATTTTGTTTTTTGGCAGACACTCTGGAATGGATTAATCACGAAAACCAAGGGTCCACTGTATAATGGTTATCTCACTCTTGGGTATGTGCCTTTAATGCCAGTTAGACTAATGGCATCTTCCCCAGACATGAAAGTGCCCCTTCGTCCCGATTCTGAAACTAGGAAGGGACTCTAACAGTTTGGAGTGTAGTGGCTGAATGCCTTAATTCTTGTCAACATAATCATAAAGTGTGAATAGTGTAGTCTCCTTCCAGGAAACCAGTGTCAAATTTACAGAGACTGGAGCACCCTAGACCACTCTTATGCAGATGCAGAAGAACTGCAGCCTATATTTCCTGGTGGGTTTAGCACTTAGTTATGATTATAATTAATAATATATATCCTTTTTGTGGTCTAGGATGTATTAGTGTTAACCCTTTGAGGGTTGGTCACCTACAAGTACATCATTGCAGCCAGGGTCGGTCACATTCTTGTACGCCTAAATTCTAATGCCTTTAAATCTAGTGGAAGAAAGCTAGCAGGCCTACATGTGAAAGAATGGGTCTGTGTGGTCAGTGTGCGCAGTATAAAAAGAATCTTAAGCACGCTGTGCATAATGAGAAAAAAAATCTGACTCTTTTTGGTTTAAAACAACGACTTTCTGGTGTATTTTCGTATGGTATTTATGGTTGTATTCTTGTTTCCTTGGTCTCATTTGATAGAATGGAAGATATATTACAAAAGTTGAAATCAGTAAATGGGCGGATTCTTGTACTCAATCGATAGAACAAGTGGAGTTTTAGGGAAATAGCTATGATTTTAGTCAACTGCAACATTGGAATTGGCCGAAAAGAGGGCTTAAAGTGGGCGAAATCGCCCACTTCAAGACTGCTAACTTCGCAGAGCATACTTCAATAAGTTTTCCATCAAATTTCATACTTTTGGTGTCATTATGATCGGAAAAAGATTCTCTCTCATTTCATTAAATTTTTTTTTTTCCCCGACCCTGAGAATGAGTTTGGGAGAGGGCCTCTTGACCCTCAAAGGGTTAAACAAGGCTTTCTGCTACTATGTGAGGAACATCTTGGAGGGGCACTCTTTACTCTTGATCATGGCTGATGTCATCCTCACCACACCCAGTCCATAGGAGCATGCTCCAGGGATTGAAGTTGAGTTCATTGTATTCACATTCTTCTTGGACTTGCCTGGCTTCAGATAAATATAGGGTTTATAATATATATTCGTTTTCTTCAGGAATGATGAGATGAAGATACTCATTGCATGTTAGACCAAGAAAAAATCAATTAGCTACTTTAGCAACTGGTATTTGACAGTGTGAGTTCTTGAATTAAATTGAATATGCCATTACGCGACAAGGTCCTTCAAGAAATAGTTTCAACTGAAGAGACTTACCTCAAGAAGCTCCACATTCTGGATAAAGTAAGTTACACTCTGGTAGAGGGCTCATGTGTAGTTTGTATAGAATTACAAGGAAGAAATTCTTTGGTACAAGTTCATTCTGTACAGTGGTATTTGCTCCTAAGATGAATAAACTAAGTGCTAGACTATAGTATAGTGTAGTTATGCTGGTTTAAGATAAACTGGGAAGTTCTAGACACCTGACTAAAAATCATGAACAGTGACTGAGAGAGTGATTGAATGTATGAGAGTACATATAGTGATACCAACACTCTTGTATAGGTATGAAGCATGGGTTGTGAGTGTTGCAGCAAGGAGGAGACTGGAAGCAGTAGAGATATTGTCTGAGGTCAATGTGTAGTATACCTGGAGAGGGTTTTGCGGGTCAATGCCCCTGCAGCCTTGGCCATGACCAGGCCTCGTGGTGGATCAGCTTGATTAACCAGGCTGTTACTGCTGGCCATGCATAAACCTACATACAAGCCACACCCCAACTGGTCAGGTATTGACTTTAGGTGCCTGTTCAACTCCATGAAGACAGCCAGGGGTCTATTGGTAATTCCCCATATGTATGCTGGGAGGCAGTTGAACAGTCTTGGGCCCCCTGACACTTATTGTGTTGTCTCTTAGCATACTTGTGGTGCCTGCGCTTTTCATTGGGGTTGGGAAGTTGCATCTGCTGAGTCCTTTGCTTTTGTAGGGAGTGATTTTAGTGTGCAGGTTTGGGACTAGTCCCTCTAGGATTTTCTAAGTGCACGTTATTATATATCTTTCTCGCCTGCATTCCAGGGAGTACAAATCAAGGGCCTTTAACTGTTCCCAGTAATTCAAGTGCTTTATCGTACTTATACGTGCCACGAAAGTCCTCTGTATATTTTCAGGGTCTACAATTTTGTCTGCCTTGCAATATTCCAGCCTAGAGAGACCAAGTGATACGAAGAGAATAATCATGGGCTTGGCATCTCACTATCATTTTCGTAGTAGATGTGGTAGAATATTATGCAGAGAATTTGTAGCTTTGAGATTAGAAAGAGGTGAGGATTAAAAGTATTATCCAGAAGCTGGGGAGGGGTTGTTGAGATGGTTTGGACATTTAGAGATATGGAACAGATAGGATGACTTGGAGGGCACGTAAATCTGTAGTGGAGGGAAGGTTGGGTACAGGTTGTTCTATGAAAGGTTGGAGGGAAGAGGGTAAAGGTAGTTTTCTTTGCAAGTAGCTTAGACATCCAACAAGGACCATTTTCATTTTTCATGATCATTTATTTATTTATTAAATCTGTGGTCAGGAGTCAAGTATTTGTTCATCTTAGAATCATGGGCTCTTGTGTAGACTGATCTTATACCAGAGTTATTTCTGTATTCAGGGCTCTTGCTTGCTATTGTTTAGCACAGTATTATTGTTCTGTTTTACATTATTATTCACAGTACAGCCTCTCCTCGCTTAGCGATGTACTCGTTTACCAACGCCTCGGACTTATGATGGGCTCTGACCAGTATGCATATCTAAATGATGTATATTAGAGCTGATTTCCTCTATTCTGTTTATTACAAATATGTATATATAGTACACTGCTGGAGTATACCTGGAGAGGGTTTCGGTGGTCAACACCCCTGCAGCCCGGTCTGTGACCAGGCCTTTTAAAAATATACTAAAAATGTTATAAATGGTGCAAAGATGACATTAAAACAATATCACAGATGGTTGACACAAACCTACTACCATTATAGTATGCTCTTTGTTTAGTGACGAATTCATTTACGGATGCGGTCTTAGGAGCAGAACTCCGTCATTAAGTGAGGAGAGGCTGTATATTTTCAGCCTTAGTAATGGTATCCATAAGATTGATAGTTTTATTGCCCTGAACATAGTTCATGGCCTAAGGGGAAAGATTTATCATATGATTGTAATGTGTAATTTACTTAAAGCATTAACTAGTCATAGATTTAAAGTTTATTTCTGTTGTCTGTTTGCTGTTCAGCTAAGTTTAATGTGCAGTGTGTGATCAGTTGCATCCTATTCCACACAATTTACTTTATAAGTACGTACGCCTTGGCACAGAAATTTTTTTTATGTAAAAACATTAAATGTAAAAATGTTGCCACTTTTGTACAATATCCACAGTGGTAATTGTCATTTACCATGATAAACCCTGAAAGAAGCACTGCACTCTGTGTTCTGGCCTCTTCTTATGACTGAAGATGACATAATTAGGGTTTTTAACCCTAGAGGGTTATAAACCCAATATAACTAATAAGAACCCAGTAGTATGGTTTACTTTCATTAGGGTCTCATAAGCATTGCATTTTCTGATAATAAAAAAATGAACCAATTGTAACTTTAATCTTTTCACTGTCACAACCTTCAAAATTAAAAGGACCAACTTGTGATTTTCAAAAAATAAAAATAATACTTTCACCTTTTGAAGAGGTAAATTTGTGGCATTATGAAGGCATGAAGTTGATTACTTAAAATCTCTACCTATATTTCTTCTTTCAACAAACTGGCCACTTCCCACCAAGGCAAGGTGGCCCAAAAAGAAAAAGAAAAGTTTTACCTATACAGTGGAACCTAGACTTACGAGTTTAATCCGTTCCAGGAGCTAGCTCGTAACTCAATTTACTCGTATATCAAATTAATTTTCCTCATTTAAATTGAAAAGCCATTAATTTGTTCCTTCACTCTGGAGAGACGAGAAAAAATACTTGAATATGACGCTATTATCAACTGTACGGCTTATTTATCTATCACAATTCATCTAATACATAATAAATAATATAATTATCACAGAAACATGATATATATACTCTAGAATGAATGAAATAGGCCATAATATCGTGGCAGAGGCAGCGGCAAAAGCGTCGCCATTTCTGTCCCAATTTGACTATAGTATCTTTCCATGTTCTTACTGTAAGAAAAAATGGAGTATTTTTGTGGCTAACTGCAGAAGATCACTAGGACCCATGGTTAGAAAAAAAAATTTGGCCAAATGACTTAACAAAATGCAAACAAGCACAAGAGAACTGCCCCCACAGGGATGTAAACATGTTTACTGCTTACCAGCTGTGCTATCAGCTGTGCCAACTAGCAGAAGCAATCTGAATTATTATTACTTGCGTATTATGCATTATTATTATTATTATTATTAATTTAGGGAACTGAAGCTCTATCATTATTATATAATTATTATTATTTAGGGAACTGAAGCTCAATCGTTTTAATAATAATAATATATTAGTAGTATTATGTTGTTATTATTATTGTTGTTGTTATTAATTTAGGGAACTGAAGCTCTATCGTTATTATGATAATACGGTAGACCGTCATTGAAGAATTGCTGCGCAATTTTATGTAACACGTATAATTAATTTAACATGATTCAGTTTGTGGGAAGGATAAAAAAATTCTCTCTTGCTCAAGTGACCGCCTTGTTGTGGAGCAGTCGGGAAGCCATTCCCTACCACTCCCCGACACCACCCCACCAGCCCAGCATATGTAATTCATGCGTGTCCAATCTTTCTCTGCTACAAGGCATCTGTGCTTGTCAATTGTTATATTTTAATTACTATATCTTGTATCTGTCAGGCAATCATGACACCCAGTAGTCATAATAGTGTTCCTGAAAGTGGCACGAAGGGTATAAGCACTTAAGTCTTAGAATTAACAAAGATATTGGACAAGAGATAAACCGTAGCCGTAATTGAAGTGTTACTCTGTATGCAGAAAAAGAGGTTAACATGAGTTTGTGTGACTGGCTTACTGAATGACTTGACTGACTTACTGAGTGACTTGACTGTAATAATAATATTATATTATTATTGATGAGAAGAAAATGAGAATGATTTCCGTTGAATTAAAGTATGAAATGATAGATAAACAAGCGAGGTGTCCAGGTTTTGGGTTGAGGGGGAAGAGGGAGGGGGAAGCTGACTCGTAACTTGGAGCAAAAAATCGACCCAGGGACGGCTCGTATCTCAAAAAACTTATAAGTTGGGACACTCGTAAGTCAAGGTTCCACTGTATTTGTATATACATATTACAGTTTACATACAGCACGAATATGAAAATAAAATACTTGTCTTTGACTTTTCAGTTTTTTGTAAAACCATGTTTAGAGAAGGGTCTCTTACCTGAAGACATCCATATAGCCATATTTGGTGAGCTGGCAGCCTTACAGCACATGAATGAAGAGCTTTATAATGCACTGGTGTCTGAAAGTGAAAATGTGGGAGCTGCCTTCCTTCATCTTGCCCCTTTTCTAAAAGTGTATTCTTCATATGCAAAAAACTATCAGAAATCCATAAATCTTTTGCTGGTGAGTATTCTGTTTATTTTATAAAAATGTGCAGTAAATGGATGGATGAATACACCAAGCAATCTGCGTGTCAATTTTTGGGATAACTAGCTCAATATTTTGGATGTAATCGTGTTGGTAGGAAGTGATATACAGTAATTTATTAAAAATTTGTGGTGTTCAATAATAGGTAATTATTTTGCACCAGCTTTCTAAATCTGGAGGACAGATAGTTTGTTTCTTTTATATTTAAATGCTATAGCAAATTGCTATTGCATTTGGTTTGTTTGAAACTGTTACCCAATCAGTAAAGAGGGAACCTCTTGCTCCTGATAGTATATAGCTGAGACAAACACTTGGTGATACAGCATATTATACTGTATGTGACTGACTTGCCTACTCAAATTAGAGATTTGATAGTACAGCCTCTCCTCACTTAGCGACGTACTCGTTTACCAATGACTTGGACTTAGGACGGGTTTTCTGACCAGTATGCATACCTAAATAATGTATATTAGAGCTGATTTCCTCTACTCTGTTTATTACAGTATACAGTACACTACTGTATAAAGATTTAAAAATGTGCTGAAAATGTTATAAATGGTGCAAGGGTAATAGTAAAGCAGTATCCAAGATGGCTGACATAAACCCACTACCATTATAATATGCTCCTCGTTTAGTGACGAATTCATTTACCTATGTGGTATTAGGAACGGAACTCCGTTGTTAAGTGAGGAGAGGCTGTATTGTTTTGAATTAATCCAATATGGCAGTCTTAACTGCCACATGTTCATTTGCTTCCCAGGCTTTCTCATCTTAGTATTTATCTCTTTGCAGAACTGTTTGTTATTCTCTGTAAAATTTGCTAATGATCATCAATCATTTTGTGTATTTTATACACTGCATTTATTTAAGAGGATTTTTCTTTATAATTTTTGAGGAAATTCCAGAGCATTTTCTTGGTAGGAATGGGAAAGGCGGAGTGACAAGTTAAGATCATGGATCACAGGGACAGAATCACGACCTGAGGTTCAAGCTAAGCTACCTTCACTGCTTATCACTCCTGTGCAACGGGTTCCACGTTACCGCCTGCTGTTGGGGGAGTTACTAAAGCACACACCAAATGACCACCCACATTTTAGCAGCATAGCAAGTAAGCTTCAACTCTCTTAATTGCCATACAGTAGTGTCGTACAATTGGCACATGACTGTCCTTTTAAATAGTGTCACATTTTATTAAAATCAAAATATTTTTATTTCTTTAATGCAGTATGTACACAGTTAATATATGTGTATTAAAATATTGTTAGGCACAAAAGAAAGGCACTAATGTGCCATGCATTTTGGTGGTCATAAATTTAATAAAGATCGGTTAAGAAATTTTGTGTGTACTACTTGGTTTCACAAAGGCACTGAAAGGAATTGTAGCTACTTTTTACTTTGGACCAACCCTGATTACCTCCATGACCCCTATGATTTTTGTTGCTTTTCCCTGAATACAATAGTGATCCCTACAAATCCACAGGCTTCCTTATTTGTGGGTTTTGATTATCTACCATTTTTTTATTTTCTGATAAACAGTCAGCAAATAATTTGATTTATCCAATGGTTTTCTGACTCAATGGCTTTCTTATGACCAAATCCCTTTATTTTAGTCACTAACAGTCAGTAATAACCTGATCAGAGTGATATGCTAATGAGATACGATCTCTGAAACAAAATGAATCCAACTCTGAAATTGTGTAAGAATTTATGACTGACTTGATTATGTATTATTCTGTATTTCTAGTTTAACAGGAACTTTAGGACTATAAACCCATGAATTTGTACGGATGACTGTAATGATAAACTTGGGTAGTTAGCGGGCTGTGTTTACTAGTAAACTAGAGTAGTCCGTCATGTTACAGAGGCAGTAGAAGAGGTGGGCGAGGTAGCAGAGCACATCAATCGCAGCATTAGTAAAGCAGAGAACCTCCAACGAATGTTGATGATTCAGCGAGCCTTCAAACGTGGCCATCCTAGCATTATTGCCCCAGGACGACACCTCCTTAAAGAAGGCATCCTCCACAAGGTGTGCTTCATATGTGGTACACATAAGCTTAATGATTATGTAGTATAGTACTGGTACCATCCGACTTATGACTGAGTTCGGTTCCAACCAACCGTCGTAAGTTGAAATGGACACAAGTCGAACCTTACTACTGAATATCAACATAACATTTTTGTAATGACTTTATTTTGTTGTTTTATTTTGGTAATTCATTTTTTACTTTACTTTTTATGCTGTTAGTACTGTATTTTATACTGTAAGGTTTAGGATAAACACTGTGTACAACACAAACAGTTGTTTATTTCCCTGAAATTTATCATACAAAACACGGTCGTAAGTCGAATGGTCGTATGTCGAGCAGGTCGTAAGTCAGATGGTGGGTGCATGTAGTGTTGTATTAGAATTCTAATGCTTGTATCCCTGTGGAAGCAACTTTTTCAAGGACATGTAATATATGACAGCCATTTATATAGAGGAGGTTCTAGGTTTCTTATGATTATTTCAAATTACAATAAGTGGTAGCTGTGTATTTAGAGATCATTAATACTGTAAATATTTTTTCTATTTTAAATTAATTAGTTTTAAGCCAATCTGCAGTGTATCCACACAAAAACAACCCCTGATTTCAAACAGGTATAACATCTATAATAACTTTATTGTAATAATCTTTCACAGTTAGTAGCTTCAGATGCAGGATTTCATTCAGTTTCATGTGATATAGGGTAGCATTAACAGCACTCAGTGTGCACCCCTCTGCTTGCTCGGCAAACATCGATGCAATAGTCCGGTTCAGTTCAGACGCTCTGCAGCATATCTGATGTTATCATGTGAACTGTCAGTGATCGAAATTTTCAACTCCTCCAGGGTTGCAGGTAGTGGTGGTATGTAAACTGTGCTCTTCATGTACCCCCAAAGAAAAGTCACAAACAGTTAGGTCAGGTGACCTCGCAGGCCACTTGCAGAGGCCACCAGACCTAACCGTTTGCGACTTCTTTCTTTGGGGCTACGTGAAGAGCACAGTTTATGTACCACCACCACCTGCAACCCTGGGGGAGTTGAAAATTTCGATCACTGAAGCAGTTCACTGAGTGCCGTTAATGCTACCCTATACCACACGAAACTGAATGAAAATCTGCACCTGAAGCTGCTAACTGTGAAAGATTATTACAATAAAGTTATTGTAGATGTTATACCTGTTTGAAATCAGGGGCTGTTTTTGTGGACACCCTGTACTTTTGTCTAATTTGATTTTTCTAGCCTGTTGATTTGTTTTTATTTTTGCTGCAGATTTTCTTATTTCTTAGTTATTTTACAGAAGTTATAAATTGCATTATTTTTATGTTTTATTAATATGCAGGTGTCCCGCAATGGTAATGGCTCACAGCCACGTTTGTTTTTCCTCTTCACTGACATACTGTTGTACACCAAGTTACCAACAGTAAACTTAGCAAGGACCCCCACCACCAGGTATATTATGCGACAGTGTTTGCTCCTTTTATTGTTACCATTATCATTAACAGTTAAATAGCAAATGGATATATTGTAGACTATTTTTTTCCTTGTTTTAGTCCCTTTTTGTAGTTACTGGAACATATTCATGTCTCCCATGTTCAGTATTTAAGTTTCCAGTGGTTTTAGTACCTAACTCTTCATTGATTCCCAGTAATGTGTGTGTATATACAGTGGACCCCCGCATACCGATTTTAATCCGTGCAAGAGGGCTCATTGGTATGCGAAATAATCGGTATGCGAATGAATTTTCCCCATAAGAAATAATGGAAATCAAATTAATCCGTGCAAGACACACAAAAGTATGAAAAAAAAAATTTTACCACGTGAAATATACATTTTCCTACACACAAAGAGAAGGATACATGCACAATAGTAGAGTAGTACATGCACAGTATATATTGTGCATGTACTACTCTACTAAATGAAGAATAAATGACACTTACCTTTATTGAAGATGCAGCAATGACTGATGAGACACTGTGTCCTGGGAGTGCCTTTTCCTCATGAGTACTGTAGTCCTGTTTGGTATTTCTTCCAGAACATGCCTTGATCACACTGTGTATGTCACTACGATTCTTAAATCTCTCAAACCAACCTTTGCTGGCTTTAAATTCACCAATATGAGCACTAGTTTCCAGGCATTTTTCCCTGTTCACCTGGTGTTAGTCGACTGGTGTGGTTGCATCCTGGGAGACAAGATTAAGGACCCCATTGGAAATAAGTTAGACAGTCTTCGATGACACTGACTTTTTGGGTTATCCTGGTGGCAAATCCTCTGGGGTAATTGTTTCTTGGTATATTCTCAATAAGCCACACCAACAACAGTGCTACAGTAGCAGCAGACGATGCTACAGCAGCAGCAGCAGCAGCTGACAGTGCAGCAGCAGCAGCAGCAGCAGCAGCTGTACCACCAATAGTAGTGATGGTTGATTGGGGTTTATTATACAACCTGGCCAGCTCGGAGACACGCACTCCACTTTCATACTTATCAATGATCTTTTTCTTCATCTCTATAGTAATTCTCACCCTTATTGCTGTAGGGTTGGCACTAGAAGCTTTCTTGGGGCCCATGGTCACTTATTTTCCAGATAAAATCACCAAAAACACTAATAATACGAAATGTTACGATTGTATGCTTGGATGCTACCGCGGAGGCTGGCTGGTAAACAATGCCACCGGCGGAACATGTGAGGCTGGCTAAGGCGCACATTGGACACGTCTCGGACGAACAGCGGTGAGCGGGTTTTTAAGCGGTATGCGAGGCAAAATTTTTGCGATTAAAGCAAGCGGTATGCGGATTAATCGTTATGTGATGCCAACGGTATGCAGGGGTCCACTGTATATATATATATATATATATATATATATATATATATATAAATGCTGTAAAGAGTTTTTATGAGGATAGTGAGGCTCAGGTTAGGGTGTGTAGAAGAGAGGGAGACTACTTCCCGGTAAAAGTAGGTCTTAGACAGGGATGTGTAATGTCACCATGGTTGTTTAATATATTTATAGATGGGGTTGTAAAGGAAGTAAATGCTAGGGTGTTTGGGAGAGGGGTGGGATTAAATTATGGGGAATCAAATTCAAAATGGGAATTGACACAGTTACTTTTTGCTGATGATACTGTGCTTATGGGAGATTCTAAAGAAAAATTGCAAAGGTTAGTGGATGAGTTTGGGAATGTGTGTAAAGGTAGAAAGTTGAAAGTGAACAATAGAAAAGAGTAAGGTGATGAGGGTGTCAAATGATTTAGATAAAGAAAATTGGATATCAAATTGGGGAGGAGGAGTATGGAAGAAGTGAATGTTTTCAGATACTTGGGAGTTGACGTGTCGGCGGATGGATTTATGAAGGATGAGGTTAATCATAGAATTGATGAGGGAAAAAAGGTGAGTGGTGCGTTGAGGTATATGTGGAGTCAAAAAACGTTATCTATGGAGGCAAAGAAGGGAATGTATGAAAGTATAGTAGTACCAACACTCTTATATGGGTGTGAAGCTTGGGGGGTAAATGCAGCAGCGAGGAGACGGTTGGAGGCAGCGGAGATGTCCTGTTTAAGGGCAATGTGTGGTGTAAATATTATGCAGAAAATTCGGAGTGTGGAAATTAGGAGAAGGTGTGGAGTTAATAAAAGTATTAGTCAGAGGGCAGAAGAGGGGTTGTTGAGGTGGTTTGGTCATTTAGAGAGAATGGATCACAGTAGAATGACATGGAAAGCATATAAATCTATAGGGGGAAGGAAGGCGGGGTAGGGGTCGTCCTCGAAAGGGTTGGAGAGAGGGGGTAAAGGAGGTTTTGTGGGTAAGGGGCTTGGACTTCCAGCAAGCGTGCGTGAGCGTGTTAGATAGGAGTGAATGGAGACGAATGGTACTTGGGACCTGACGATCTGTTGGAGTGTGAGCAGGTAATATTTAGTGAAGGGATTCAGGGAAACCGTTATTTTCATATAGTCGGACTTGAGTCCTGGAAATGGGAAGTACAATGCCTGCACTTTAAAGGAGGGGTTTGGGATATTGGCAGTTTGGAGGGATATGTTGTGTATCTTTATATGTTTATGCTTCTAGACTGTTGTATTCTGAGCACCTCTGCAAAAACAGTGATAATGTGCGAGTGTGGTGAAAGTGTTGAATGATGATGAAAGTATTTTCTTTTTGGGGATTTTCTTTCTTTTTTGGGTCACCCTGCCTCGGTGGGAGACGGCCGACTTGTTGAAAAAAAAAAAAAAAAAAAAAAATATATATATATATATATATATATATATTATATATATATATATATATATATATATATATATATATATATATATATATATAATTATATATATATATATATTATATATATATATATAATTTTTTTTTTTTTTTTTTTTTTTTTTTTTTTTTTTTTTTTTTTTTTTTTTTTTTTTTTTTTTTTTTTTTTTTTCCAACAAGTTGGTCGTCTCCCACCGATGCAGGGTGACCCAAAAAAGAAAGAAAATCCCCAAAAAGAAAATACTTTCATCATCATTCAACACTTTCACCACACTCACACATTATCACTGCTTTTGCAGAGGTGCTCAGAATACAACAGTTTAGAAGCATATACGTATAAAGATACACAACATATCCCTCCAAACTGCCAATATCCCAAACCCCTCCTTTAAAGTGCAGGCATTGTACTTCCCATTTCCAGGACTCCAAGTCCGACTATAAGAAAATAACCGGTTTCCCTGAATCCCTTCAATAATATTACCCTGCTCACACTCCAACAGATCGTCAGGTCCCAAGTATCATTCGTCTCCATTCACTCCTATCTAACACGCTCATGCACGCTTGCTGGAAGTCCAAGCCCCTCGCCCACAAAACCTCCTTTACCCCCTCTTCCAACCCTTTCGAGGACGACCCCTACCCTTCTTTCCTTCCCCTATAGATTTATATGCTTTCCATGTCATTCTACTTTGATCCATTCTCTCTAAATGACCAAACCACCTCAACAACCCCTCTTCTGCCCTCTGACTAATGCTTTTATTAACTCCACACCTTCTCCTAATTTCCACACTCCGAATTTTCTGCATAATATTTACACCACACATTGCCCTTAGACAGGACATCTCCACTGCCTCCAACCGTCTCCTCGCTGCTGCATTTACCACCCAAGCTTCACATCCATATAAGAGTGTTGGTACTACTATACTTTCATACATTCCCTTCTTTGCCTCCATAGATAACGTTTTTTGACTCCACATATACCTCAACGCACCACTCACCTTTTTTCCCTCATCAATTCTATGATTAACCTCATTTTTTTTTTTTTTTTTTTATTATCACACTGGCCGATTCCCACCAAGGCAGGGTGGCCCGAAAAAGAAAAACTTTCACATCATTCACTCCATCACTGTCTTGCCAGAAGGGTGCTTTACACTACAGTTTTTAAACTGCAACATTAACACCCCTCCTTCAGAGTGCAGGCACTGTACTTCCCATCTCCAGGACTCAAGTCCGGCCTGCCGGTTTCCCTGAATCCCTTCATAAATGTTACTTTGCTCACACTCCAACAGCACGTCAAGTATTAAAAACCATTTGTCTCCATTCACTCCTATCAAACACGCTCATGCATGCCTGCTGGAAGTCCAAGCCCCTCGCACACAAAACCTCCTTTACCCCTCCCTCCAACCTTTCCTAGGCCGACCCCTACCCCGCCTTCCTTCCACTACAGACTGATACACTCTTGAAGTCATTCTGTTTCGCTCCATTCTCTCTACATGTCCGAACCACCTCAACAACCCTTCCTCAGCCCTCTGGACAACAGTTTTGGTAATCCCGCACCTCCTCCTAACTTCCAAACTACGAATTCTCTGCATTATATTCACACCACACATTGCCCTCAGACATGACATCTCCACTGCCTCCAGCCTTCTCCTCGCTGCAACATTCATCACCCACGCTTCACACCCATATAAGAGCGTTGGTAAAACTATACTCTCATACATTCCCCTCTTTGCCTCCAAGGACAAAGTTCTTTGTCTCCACAGACTCCTAAGTGCACCACTCACTCTTTTTCCCTCATCAATTCTATGATTCACCTCATCTTTCATAGACCCATCCGCTGACACGTCCACTCCCAAATATCTGAATACGTTCACCTCCTCCATACTCTCTCCCTCCAATCTGATATTCAATCTTTCATCACCTAATCTTTTTGTTATCCTCATAACCTTACTCTTTCCTGTATTCACCTTTAATTTTCTTCTTTTGCACACCCTACCAAATTCATCCACCAATCTCTGCAGCTTCTCTTCAGAATCTCCCAAGAGCACAGTGTCATCAGCAAAGAGCAGCTGTGACAACTCCCACTTTGTGTGTGATTCTTTATCTTTTAACTCCACGCCTCTTGCCAAGACCCTCGCATTACTTCTCTTACAACCCCATCTAAAAATTTATATTAAACAACCACGGTGACATCACACACCCTTG